ACACCGTCTAGTTGTATAAGCTCAAGACTCTTCTTCAACACGAATAAATTGTAGAGTGTTATCAATCACTCCAAGACTTCAACTTTCGAGTCTTCTTTAATCACATCTCTTCACTCAAAGCAGTCAATAAAGAATACAATCACACAAGGCATTCCTTCTTCATTAACCTCAAGCTCTATCTTTGTAGAACAACAATACAATACAAAGCAACCATGATTACCCTTTTAATAATAAAAGTCTTCCATTCTCCTTCATATCATGTACACATTAGATCTTAAAAAAATATGGATTAAGTTGAGAGACTTGACTCAATCTCAACTATATAATATTAGAATGCTAGAAAAAGATGACATTAAATAATATCTTATGATTATCAACAACTTCATTAGACAACTTGCAAGTATTATAGTTCTAATATCAAACATTTATTTCTTGGCATCCAATTACTCGCATGCACTATTTGAAAAACCTACAACTTTATTCTTTATCATACAAGTATTCTTCTTGATACTTTTGTAAATTTCGACATTAAGTATTAAGATGGAAGACCCAATTCTAAGCAGCTTTAATATTTTACTTGTCCAAAGAATTAAGATTTGCCTACAATCTTCTTTCTTCAACTATTATGCCTGAAGTTTTAGATGATTTAGTATAAGATAGGATTTTTTTTCAAATTTTTTGCTTTCAATAATCCTTTCATCATATTCAAATTTTAAAGATTGAATAAGTCTTAAAAACAATTGAATGAGTTGTCTAGCAAGTAAATTATTTTAGATTTTATAAAGATAGACATATCAAATTTTATTGACTTTGTATAAAATAATGGTCAAAGACCATTAGGTGTTATATAAAGATTCTTTACAAAAACTAGAAATTTTAAAATATATTTTAAAAGACAATCCTAAATCTATTATGATTGTAATTTTTTTATCTTCTATTCATGAAGAATATTTTAATTAGTTAATATTTGACAAGAAGCTATGTATTAGCATAAAATTTGGAATAAATACCACCAATATAATAGTAATTCAAAGATATCAAGGACTTATAAGAACTGTGCTAATTGAGTATTGTTTTATTTTTAGTAGTAGTTATATTTTAAAAAGCATCAAGGTAGTCAGCACATGCTAATTTTTTCTAGAATGCCAGTATAATAAGATAAAATTAAGAATTTAATGAGAATATTTGCATATTGTATGCATGTAAAAATATAACTTACTTCTATATCTCATATTAATATTTTTGCTTAAATAAAGTGATGTTGAAGTTCAATGTATTTTATTTGTATGTATAGAATTGGATTCTATACAAGCATACTCTAATATTTCTTTAATGTAATGAAATATGTTTTTTACAATCTTCATGTAAGAGGAACCTATATCTTTTCACAAGTACATTCTAAAGCTCATTAGTACTTTAAAGAAATTACATCTCCTCATCTTATATTTCTTCAATATTTTTATCAAGTTTTTTGTTAATGAACATAGATTCTTTTATTTATGTAAGCTAATTCAATACCACTTTGCTCAAACTTGTCAATTAAAATTCACTTTTGAATTGTTCTTCTATCTGACTAATCTTTTCATGGCTTTCATTGATTATTATTAAGTCATTAACATATAGAAGTAAGTTGGCATACTTTTTGTTTTAAAAGAAGAAGTACATATTTGGATTGAAGATATATATTTTTTAATACCAAGAGTATCAAATGACCTTTTAACTATATTGATGGCATTCTATCTCTTGCAAACTATCTTTTCTATAGTATGCAACATATTCTAACTTCCTCTTTTTGTTTTGATTTATTCAATTTTTCCTTCTCTAATACACTATTAGATATTAGATTTATACATCTTTAAGTATGTTATCAACTAGTTGTTTTTCTTTATTAATGTCTTTTATTTCTTCATCAATTAGATCTAGTTTAATTCTTGCTTGATCCTTTCTGTTATTGACTTTAATTTATTTGTTCAAATGAGATGCATTAAAATTAAATGGATTCTCTTCTACATGTATCTTCAATTTTAAGTGATGGGAGCCAACTTAACTTTTATCAAATACTACATTTTGTGTTATGATCATTTTTTGCTTCTCAAGCTTATACATTTTATGAGCTTTAGTAAGGCCATTATATCCTATAAAAAAACATGTTCTAGTCTTACTTTCAAACTTGCTTCTCCCTTCTTTGGTCACATGTACATAACAAATGCATCTTAAAAACTCTAAAATTACCTACACTTGGTTTTTGCTTCATATATTTTTGCTTCTAGGTGATTCATTGATTTGGATGTATAGGTCCATGATTTACTAGATAATTTCTTGTATTTATCACCTCCACCCAAATAAAATTGGGTATTCTATCTTCAAAGACCATACTTCTTATTTTTTCCATAAAATTTTGATTATATTGCTTAACAATCCTATTTTATTAGAAAATTTTGGCTTTGTAAGCTATGTTCTTATTCTATTCTCATTGTAATAATCATTGAATTTTTTTAATGGGAATTTATTACCTATATTGGTTTGAAATATCTTCAATTTTCTTGTCATTTCTTTTCAACTTTCATTTTGAATATCCTAAATTTATTAAATATTTTTTCTCTTGTTTTCAAGAAATAAAGTCAATTTTTTCTTAAATGATCTATCTAAAATACTACAAAATATTTTTATCCACTTAGGGATACTTTAGAAAGTAGACCTATTATATTGAAATGAACTAATTTTAATACATGCTTTGCCCTTATTGTAATTTTTTCAAATAACATTTCTTTCTTTTGACAACTAGCTAAATATTTGTGGCAAATAACCTCAATTAAATCAATTTGAGCTAAACTAACTACTCTATTTTTCATGTATAAATGACGTAGATCTTAGTAATTCAAATGCCCATATCTACAATGCCACAATCTTATTGCATCATCATCTATTAGAATATTTACATCATAAATGTTGTTATCCCTTATTTTATAGAAATCATTATTACTATCCCTACTACCAAATCCTATAATCAACTTAGCATAAAGATTATTAAGAACAATGCATTATATTTATCTTTTGCTTGTATATAGATAAACATCTTATACTCCTTTAATCTTGTGTTTCTCTGGTCTTGTTGTAGTAACTAGTTTCTTTCTATAACCTAAGCTCTCAATGAACTCTAAGAATTCTTTAGATATAATAATATGTCTAGTTGCCCTTGAATCCATGTACTCACTATCTAAAATGTCTTGCAGTTTAGTGAAGGCTACTTTTAGTACCTCCTCTTCAACTTTATTTTTTGACTCATTGCTCTGTTTTTTGTGATTCTTTGTAGAATTTGCAAAGTTCAACTACAATTCTTTTAGACTTTTATAATTTTTGCAATCTTGTGTATAGTGCATTTATTTATTGCATACATAATACATAATCTTTCTTTGTCCTATACACTCCAAGAATTTATTAAGAAGTGATATTTTTTTTTACTCAAGTAGCTTTTGAACTATCCTTGGCCCCGGTTGAATGAGCCCCTTCTTTTGCTTGAGGAAATCTTCACTCCTTTGTGAAACTGTATTAATAGTGCCTCTTTGTCTTCCAAGTGCAAGTTATGGTGCTCGTGCCTATGGTGTTCAGTTAAGAACACAACACTCATTTTATGAAAGGTGAAAAATATTGCACTATGAATGATAGTGGATATAATGAATTCATATGCCCTCAATAGGCCATTGAGCACTCCATGAACTAATGTTCAGCCATACGCTTGTTCTTCAGGAGTAGCAAATTAATTCTTTAACTTTGTTGCTTTATTGAGGTATTCTTCCATTATCCCTCCTTTTGGCATCTTCATGTGATTGCGTTGGTTTATTGTAAATATAACCATGGTTGGATCTCTATTTTAATAAAATTCTTTTAATGTCTCCAATGTAAGAACAAAGTTTTTGTGTTCTACAACAATTTTGACTAACAAGTCATTCAACAACATTATAATTGCTCTACATGCAATAGACTTTGAATCATGCAGCTGTTTCACTGTCACTTGTCTCTTGCTTGGCAGAACAACTGAAAATATTACAAGTGAGATTACATTCTCAACTGCTTTCTACAAATTCTTACTCCAAAATATTGCTCTTATTTTTAACTTTCACACATGATAGTTGGTGAGTCCTTCCAACTTGTTGGGCTCTCTTATTAGTAAATCTTTTCTTTCTGCCATATGTCCTCACACAATATATTACTAATATTCTGGTACAAATCTTTTTACAAGACAAGGAGTAATATTCACTTTAGTAGCTGAACACACACTCAAGTATTCCTAAGTAAAGCTCTAATACCATATTAAAAATTATTATTATTATTATTTTCCCTCTTTTTCAAGAATAGCAAATTTAAGCAGTAAGCTTATATACAGTGATATCAATTGAATTGGTGGTGGTCCTTAATTTACTTTGTAGTCCAGATAGATTTTTATCTTATCATGATGGTCCTTGTAATCTAAACTAATTTTGTGAACTGACATTATCATTATGTGAATGATATGCAAGGAGAGATGGTAGTTTGCTTATTTCTAACATACCTTGCACAGATAGAGACAAATTTGACATGGATTGAAAGGTTGGAGAGTGTGTCAAAGAATCCTCTTTGACTTGATTCTAGAATACAAAACCCTTAATCAATCTTAGTACTAAGAAGGATGAGTTGAGAGAAGAATGTTACTAGCCGGCATTCCTCTCATTCAAGGGAGGGCAGCCCCCATGCAACCGCACAGAGGGAGCTGCCCTACCAGGAATGAAGCGAAGCAGGGATGCAGAAAGGGAGGGGAGGGAGGGGGATGGATACACCCGAAACTGCTTCTGATAGTAACATCGTAACAACGTAACAAGGAGCAATTATCCAAGCAGACAAAGCGATCAGATCCATCCGCTGGTCGGCTCTTGCTGCCTCTCTCTCATGAGATCAATTTGCCTGTCTGGCTCCAGCTGACACACTCACACACACACACAAAATTTCTTGGAATTATCTTCTTCTTCTTCTTCTTCTTCTTCACTTCATCACCATGCCATGGCGTCTGCAGCTGGCATTCCCCCTCCCCTCGCACAAGCCCCGCCTATATAACCCACTGGCCTCGTTCTCCGGTGCAACAATCCAGTTTCCATGTGTCTGCTTGCAAGTCTCACATTGGCACCGTGTTCGGTTCACGAGTTCAAACCTTAAAGCGAGAGCTGGGTGTGTGTTGTCTGTGAACTGGGCAGTGTCGATCGGCAAACCTGCGTGCGGTTAGACTCCCACAAGGTTTCCTGCAGTGTAACTGGGATTGGTTTCTTTGAAACAGAGTTGCTCGTGTGGGGGAATGGGTTGCAACGGCCCTAAGGATCAAGCTGTAGTGCACGTCGCTAGTTAAATTGTCTTGTGGAAGGCGAAGAGGAAGGACAGCCTCCAGCTGGAGATTGCTTGTTACCTGTGACCAGCTCTGAGATAGTGTTACTTGAGAGGGGGAGCACTAGAGCCCGCGTTCCTGTATTGGGCTATGTAGCAGTGTAGCCCAGAGGGTAGGTGCGGCTCTGTGTTGCTGCACGTAGGTCGGTCAGTTTGACGCTTAGAAGCTTATAAGGCGAAGAGCCACGGCCTCGTGCTGAAAAAGGATCTACGGCGATTGAGTTGGGATGCATTTTGCGTTTGGGGATACGCTGTGGATGGGTGTGTTCGTTTCTGCTGAAGTGGAAAGACATTGACTTTACAGTGTTTCGTTGTCTGAGTAGCGTGTCTTTGGGCTTGCCGCATTTGGTCTGAATTAGCAGAGCTTACGGTTTTAAAATTGGTTATCTCTGCCTCCTTCGTATATTTGTGCTGATGTTTTGGATCATTGCTCCATTGCTGTAGGTTTTCATTGTGGCCTTAGTTCCTTGCTTGTTTCGGTTTCTCCACGAGGTTTCTCTCGACGCTTCTTCTGTTGTAACCGTATCACTTTACAGCTGTGTCATTGGCGATTACATCGAACTCTTCAACCCCTCCGTCTCCTTCAATTTTTAGACTTTTCCTACCACCTAATAGCCAATCTGACAACCATGGCCCGAGTTGTGAAAGTCTACTTTCTCCTTTTTGCGTTGTGTGCGGTGTCTGTGGTCGTTGACTCTCGCCCAATACCTCTTTCCTCTATTACAAATGTCAAAGCCGTCGAGATCGAAGTAGTTGAGATCGATCAACCTGTGAACATTGGAAGGAATCTCTTCAAACTGGTTAGCAACTCCCCTGTTTTACCCTATCACAATGGCCCTTTGCTGGCCGGTAGAGAGGCCCTCAATGTTTACATCATCTGGTATGGTACCTTCACGCCGACTCAGAAATCAATTGTAAGCGACTTCTTCCTCTCGTTCCAGCAGCCCAGTGCCGATGTGCACCCTTCCGTTGCGAGCTGGTGGAAAATGACGTCTGCATACCAGGACAACAAGAACAACATCCCAGCAGGAGCAGTGAAGCTAGAGGGACAAGCGGATGATAACTACAGTATCGGCAAAACCTTGAAACAAGCCGACATTGAAACCCTCGTGGTCACCGCTATGGCATCCCTCCCTGCCGATCCTGCTTCCATCTACTTCGTCCTCACTGCAGCCGATGTCAAAGTCGAAGGCTTCTGTATGAACACCTGCGCGTCCCACTCCTTCACATCCTCATCTCCTGCTTCCAAGAATTATATGCTGCTCTACTCCTGGGTTGGATACTCAGGAACAGAGTGCCCTGGACAATGCGCTTGGCCTTACGCTCTCCCGCAGTATGGTCCTCAGGGCGCTAAAGCTTTGGTCGCCCCCAATGCCGACGCTGGAATGGACGGAATGGTAATCAACATGGCAAGCATGCTCGCAGGGACTGTGACTAACCCGTTCAACAACGGTTACTATCAGGGTGATGCAATGGCACCCTTGGAAGCAGCCACCGCTTGCACCGGCATCTATGGTGCTGGAGCTTTCCCTGGAAACCCTGGCCAGCTAGTAGTGGATCCCATCACCAGTGCTAGCTACAATGCGCAAGGAACGGGGATAAGAAAGTACTTGTTGCCTGCTCTGTGGGATCCTGTGACGATGACCTGCGTGCCAGTGTCGTAAGAATGTGGAGGAGTTCACTAGGTTTTGGAAACCAGGAGAGAAGACTGCTTAGGAGCCAGCTGCCGAGGTATTTGTGCCCTTGGGTTTGGTTCGCTTCATGGGAGAAATGACACTTCTTCGTGGAGGTAGATTTCTCTTGAAGTTTGGGGGAGGAAGATAGAGCTCTGATCCTGATCGATCAAGATGTTCTTTACGAGAGGTTAGCATCAATTTCTGTATCAGCATGTCTGGAAGTTGATCGAAGTGCGAAATTTGTCGTTACAGATGATCATTCTGTACATATGAGCGGGTATTGCAGGTGTAATTATTGACGAGCTCGAAAGATTTAGCATTGTTGTCGGGTCGACGTGTGCGACTACCGCCAATTTTTGAAGCAATGCACTGGGAGATTTGTGTTACTAATAATTGTGATACATTTGTACACTACTACACAGAGCCTTCCGAATCCTTGCAACAATAGTTCCACTTCACTCTGCGATCTACTGTGGCCCTCTTGACTGTCGTCCATTCTTGTGAAACTCCCAAGCTTGAATATGCTATGCATTTCTTTAAGTCTGTTCTTGTGATAGTTGTCGCGGAATGTTTTCATGTGCCTTTAAAAGTTATTTCTAAAATGCAGTATGATAGATTTCGTCTCATTGTTTTATCTATGCTTTTCCTACCATCTATCAAATTGCTGGTAACTTAAGTCTTGGACTGTACTATTCCAGTAACGGCGTATTTGCACTAACTATGCTGCGGCAACTATGGATCCATAATTTATAGATTTGTAAGCATATGCCAAGTTCTCTCGGAAATGAGTAAGCGTCCATTACATATGTGTGTACATAGGACTCTCTTCGAGGCAACTTTGATGTTTTAGAAATCGAGATGAATTGCATCACTATCGCCTGACTATTTCCTCAAGCGTAGAGCACAAGTATCTAGGTTGGTTTTGTGCCTAAACCAATTTACTCGTGTATGTTATTAGTGCTCGCAATATCAACTGCGTGTGATAGAGCATATTCCCCTTCGTAGTGACAGCACACAATCACCATTGATCATCAGTGTGTTTCTCGAAGTCGTCACAATTGTTCGGGAATGATGTTCCATACTAGTAAATGGCTGCACTTCTAGGAACGGCTTTGCGCTTTTATCAAATGTTGAGATTTTGCCAACGAGTCATTGGTTAGCAGTTATCTCGCACCACAGAGCTCCCAGCCCTAGGTTCTAGTAGATCCAATCGATAGTACACATTGAATCTGGTGTAAGACTTGCAATGTATGCTACGTGCTATTGCAATGTGAAAAATGCAGCGGCAGATCGATCGACAGCCGTTGCAGTTACTAGAGGTTGGATGGTTTTGGAAGATGAGCGCAGTTACCAAACCATAGCTTAGGATCGGCCTGAAAGCGTGAGATGGAGCTGCGGTGTTTGATTGGTTGTATTATCATCACCCAAAATTGGTGCAACCACTGGCATTCTGGACTTTTTAGGAGCATGTGCAACGTTCCAGCAAATTTTCGGATATCTAAAGAACAGTTTCAGAGTCTTGTGCAGCAGCATCGGCCATGGCGACACAGAAATTGACAACGAATCAAACGCCAGTTAATGTACGTAAACTTCTTTCATCTTCGATCAAGGAGGCACCTAATTCGCCATGAAGCTATGGAGCCGCGTACAGCCATTGGTTGGAAATCTGTTTGTGTCAGTTATCCTTTTCATCAGACATGTCTTCATGCCGCTGTTCCGAGAATTCAGATGGATTGCAGAGAGCTTGGAGAGAATTTCAAGAGGGAGATATCCTTTGGATGCAGGTCGCCAGGTAAAAGTGAGCAATCACATTGGATACAGGACAAGTCGCGGCCCTGGTGACATTATGACAATGAGTAAATGCTGCTGCAGAGGATTCCATTCTGAAAAGAATCAGAAACAAGGATGTACAGGAACACAAATTGTTTGAGTCTGATACTCAAAAACTGAGGTATCTGAGTTGAGGTGTCAGAGTCTGGTCTATTTTGTTAAACCCTTGAGAAGGTCCATCAACCATAAGGTTTGTCTCAATTCATGGACGAGCCAGAGTTCACTCCATGCGAACTTCGCTTTTGTAGGATCGTGACGTCGTCGAAAGGGTGCTCGCGATGTCTTTAAGGCAGGCTGATTATTCCGCTTTGATGAATTTCAGGTTGAGAGCGACCCAGACACCTTCAAAGCGTAGAGCTTTTCGGAGATCTAGCATCTTCTTTTCATGACTGCTTACGAATTGAATTTCTTCTTTCTTTCCGCTGAAGAAGATGCTTTGAAAATTCTTAATGCCGCAATGCCACTCTTGATTATCGTGAGGGTTGGCAACATTTATTTCGAGGATTTTGCCTGCATAGATTGTTCATCGAAGGCCATTTACGTACCTAATACTACTCTTCTGAATCGACAGTTGGCGTAACTTTGCATGGGTGGAAGGATCATGAAGTTATTGTCAAATCGTAGACCTACCGAGCTTTGTCTTTGAATCTCTATCCCTTTCCATTTGTCCGTATCCTTGGGCAGTGGAGAGAATCCGGAGTCTTTCATTCAACAATCTAATCGAGACAATCTCATCGTTACGTTACTTCCGCAGCCACCTAGAAGGTGTCAATCGTTGTGGATCGATAAAAATTAAAAACTTCTGTGGTTGCTGCTTTCTACAAAATAGGAAAAAGCTTTGGCCGGAGGTACACTTTTTCCTACCCTGAAAACTTTTGACTCATTACTTGACAATTAAGGTCTAGAAGTAAAATGAAAAAAATGAAAAAATGGAAAAAAAATTATAATAAAAATGACATGCAGAGAGAGTTGTTCTCGCCATGCATGGAGCGTTCTAAGAATGATTAGTGTTCGTCTGTCGTCCGCAAGATTTGTACGATCTTGTATTTTGCGCCAAACATGAAGGTTGTTTCTACATAAAACTACTTGAATGTTCACTCTTCTCATCAACTTCTTCGGGCTTTTCTTCCATCTCCTGCTTCCACTGTAACGAATCCATTGAAAGTGCGACTTCGCACACATCAGCAAATCATATTGCAGAGTTTGGAGGTCCTTTTTTTGAGGTGGAAAGATTCATTTTCTAGGCATACAAATCGATCTGAAAATTACAAGCAAGGCAGGTTGGCATGGGAAGCAAGAAGCATCAGCTAAGGCATACCATTGTGTAGTGGAAGCGTGTGGAAGACCTCGAAGAGCACTCGTCTTGGTGAGTTATCCCGAAACCTGCAAGCTTTGCAAACTTGAATTGATACGTTCGCTACTGTTTTCGTATATATCGTTGTCTACACTTCATACTTTTAATATATGTTTCTGTATTTGTGTTTACAATGGCATGTTTGTTTTGTAAGAATGATGTGTTCACGCATTTTAGGACATATTAGATTGTTGACAGGAAATTATGATTTTACTTGTTTCTTTTGTTGATAGGAGTGATTTTAGAGGAAATCATAAATTCTCAAAAGCATTTAAAATTTAAAGTGGTTTTGTATAAATTAATATTTTAATTAAAATGTATTGTAATACAAATGAATAAACATATAGATTGAACTATTACAAAATTTATAAACCTAAAACACATTAAATGTGTTAATTTAAAAAATATATGATCAATATCTAAATTTATTTAAATAGGATAGATAAGTTATAAAAATAATTTATTACTTTTTACTACTAATATTAAAATTTGAAGAAACAAAAAAATCATGGTAAAATATATACTTTAATTTCCTCTAGAAAAATTTGGACTAAATCAAAAAAATTAATATATATATATATATATATATATATATATATACACATATACATATTTAATATAATATTTAATTTATATACTAATAATATCTCTATTTATTTGTACCTTTGATATTTTAGTATTTTACTTAACTTAATTTTTTTATTAATGAGAAATTTATATTATTCATATACTTAATAAAAATTATAGAAAAATATTACAATGTATTTCTATTAATCTAAAGATGTGGTCATTAAGGTTGGTCACGTATTTAAGAGTATGAGGTTTTTTTTTAAAAAATACATATGTAAAATTAAAAATATAATTTTATAGTTAGTATTTTATATAATAAATTTTCTAATATTAGTAATTATATATTTTAAAAATAAAACGTATGAAATTTATTTTGAATAAATTTAAGGATAAGTATTTGATGAAGTTGTTTTGTGGTAAATATTTTAGCTCAAAAATATGTTTAAAATAAAATAAAATAAAATAATATATATAATAACTAATATTAAAAAAATTTAATAATATATTTATACAAAAAAATTTAATATATAAAGAAATAAATAATAAAATCTTTTAATCAATAGATGCATGTTTTAGTTGACTTTTTTTTATCAATTGAGACATAAAAGTATCTATTAATTTCTTGTTTAAAATATTGTATTAAAAAATATTAAAAATATTTTTTTAAAGGTGTTTTATAAGATAAGTATACTTAGAACATTCAATGAATATAGTTTTAAATTAATTATAGGTTTAATAAGTATATTATTACCATTTCTAAAATCTAAGCAAATATTTTTCATAATTTAATGTTTTATAGGATGTTTACTTAATATTTATATATTTTTAATATTTTTTTATTAAAATAAGATTTATGATTTTTTTTATAATTTTTAAAAAATAATGTGTTAAGTAATTTTTTTCAAAGAAATGATTATTTTCGTATATTAATTTTATTCATAGTTTTGAAATCATCAAAAATACATATTTTTAAAAATAAAATATATCATAAATAATTATATAAATATATATATATATATATATATATAAATATATATATATATATATATTAATATATATATATACATACACATAAAATTGAACAAATAAAATTAGTATAAGTAAAAGATAATAATTTTTTGTAACTATAAATACTAGTATTTTTCAAATTATAAACTTGATTCTTATTTCAGATATAATCTTACAAAACTTGAACATAATCTGTAAAAGTATCCAAATTGTTAGTGAAAAACTATAATTAATTTATAGTTATATTTTCAGGTTAATTTTATCTTTCTTAATAAAATTTATTTTTTGTTTATAATTAATATTATTCTAAATAAAAACAGATAATATAGGATTGATTATACACTGGATTTTATTTCAAATGAATTCTTCTTCTATTTCATTTATTATGGAGTTTTAGTTATTTTAAATCTCTAGATTATAAATAACTATTCTTAAAAATTAAGCAATCAAAAATCAAAAGAAAAAATCTGATTCATTTTTAAGATGCTTCTTCCAATGTTTGGTAGGTCTCTTTCACTTTGTAATACTAAAAAGTTATAAAAAGATTTATTATGTCTTTAAATTCAATCTACTAATTATTTAGATAATTATTAAATTTTTTATATACGTATAAATAAATAAATAAATAAATAAATAAATATATATATATATATATATATATATATTAATAAGATTTACAATATGTCTTTTGATATCTAGGTT